CTGCATCTTGTCTTGGCTGGATTCAGCAGGAATGCGAATACAAACTATTAACTAAACAGCGTTTGCTTTTGCCATCACACTGACTTGCTTTCACTCCAGCTTCTCATCTGGGAAATAAAACGGGAGAAGGATCATTGAAATAGGTTGTACGTGCTGACTGTGGCAATTTGTTAAACAGCGTGTTACCGTGAAATTAACAGCAGGTCTGCTTTGAAAGTCATCAGGTTTAACATTTAAACATTAAAAAGTAATTGACACATTACTAGCAAGACTGCATGTTGCATTTGTGCCAATTGCATTTCACAAATGTGTTTGTTTCATGTAAAAGGGTACGATTTTATGACACAAACAGATGGTCAGCTGTAAATTGTCTTCCACATCTAAGTGAGGCTGTATGGCGTTAATATGGTGTGGAATATAAGCAACTATATCTTATATTCTTACAGCTATGTCAGTCCAGTTAATAGGTTTGATCGTTTATCCCAGTTTTTGAAGTGTTGCTAATTTTCACAGCTTTTTCTGTATGTATGCATATGTATATCATGCGGTCTCTCGGGGTAGAAGGTGCTTATCTTTGCCACTGGTTGCTGTGCAATCATTTATTGAGGTGTGGAAAAAAGGAGCTCAAACAGGTGTACTTTATTGCCTCAGATGTGTAACCTTGTAACATATTGACCCTTTTAATGCTTATTATTAAACCAGTATGTGAGCATGTTACCGTTGTTGTAAATAAAAACCTAAAAATATACGTTAAGATCATTATTATTATTATTATTATTATTATTTTTATTATTATTTATTTGTTTGTTTGTTTGTTTGTTTGTTTGATTTGATTGTGCAATGTGTACATATTAGATGAGACAAAATGTACACAAAAATCCCAACTGTGTAATTATTACTTAATGTCATTAACTACAAGCTTTTTATAACAATATTATTATAACAATACGTTTATTCTGCAGTCAGGTGAGTTGAGAAAACGTAACATAGGGGTGTGTCATTTTTCAAGGCAACTTAGACCACTGCTCATTTACACAATTATCTCACAAGGCTCAAGAGTAGTGAGCTGAGACCCATGCCAGCTATTTATTATGTATTTACAGTGCTTACAGTGTTTTGAGGACCAGAATCTTATAAAACAATCAAGTTATTCTTGTGTGTGTGTGTGTGTGTGTGTGTGTGTGTGTGTGTGTGTGTGTGTGTGTGTCATTTTTGACCCCAGTTGAAAGTAAACACACGGTAACCTTCACCTCTTCCTGATACAACTCACCTTCAGCAGTTCATCCAGACATCGGTGTGTTCCCCAAAATACAAGAAACACATTGATTTTATGGTGCAGATTGACCTGTATTAGTCCAGCTTGTTCCAGTTTTCCTGCTTTTTGTCTTATGAAACCTGTATTTGCCACTGTTTACAAAATTCCACTTGCAAGCAACTTAGACAGTTTATCTTATCTAACCATGAAAAGAGATTTTCATTTCTAGATATTTTTTTTGTAACCTATAATTACATGTCTACAGCAAAATGAGCCCTTATGGGTTTACTCTCGCCCTCTTAGAGCTTACTGTGTGGTTATAAGCCTTGCCGCTATCAAATTTACCCAGCAGGCATTTTTGCCTTTGCTTCATTAGCAGGTGGTCTATCGGTCTGTGATATCAGGCCCCATATTGAGACACTGCTTTTAAAGTAGATGTGAGTAGATAGAGCTTAAATGACCTCTCTCTGGACCCTGTTTTGTTGGAGGATATGAAAAAAAAAGAAGGGGGGGCAGCCAGAAACAAACGCATTCCACGTGGCAGCTGATTTTGACCAGATCTGGACAAATCATTCCAATATGAATAATGCTGTCTGCAGAGAGAGAGAGAGGGAGAGAGAGAAGTCTCCTGCATCTCACAAAAGAAACATTGTTTTGCTACATGTTTGATACAAAACACGTGTCTAAAATTTAGAGTTTTTCCAACTTCTTCTGAGGTAAAAGCTGGACGCTTTTATGTGTAATCACACAGAAGAAACAGTAATCAGTTCCATATGCAGCTGTTTAGAATTAACCACTAGGTGGCAGCAAAGATCGTCTTACTGTACCCGACATCCTTTATTCTCTCTGGTTCTCCCGATCTAATTTATTTGATTCACTGTAATTGGCTTGTGTGCCGAAGCTGGTATTTAGAGGAGTGTTGTTTGTACTTCAAAAGGGGGGCAGCAGAGAATTATTTGTAGGCTCAAAAAGGCTGTAACTGATTCCAAACAGTAGGTGGGAGATCAGCTCTTATTATCTGCCTCTTCTTACATTTAGCAGTGCCACGTCAAGCAAATTCTAATTCTCAAGTTTTGTTGTAAGGTCTAATCCTCCCCCACCCCTAAAAAGACAAAAAAGGAAGCTTGAAAACACCAAATAAATGTTCTCTTCTTGTCCAAAATATCAAATATGCCCTCATTAAATCAGGAATCGAGAGAAGTATGGAATATATTTTCTTAACTTTGTACAATAACAGAGAAAAATATAGGAATTAATATAGTATTTTTTTTAAAAAACATATGCACACAGACAAAATTCAAGAGTAATGACTTCAAATAAATGAGTAAAAACAAAAAGTTCTTAGAAACGTATCACTCTAACAAAATGTTTGCATTGGAGCACCTCAAATGACTTTTCACAAATCCTTAAACTTTCTTTCGTGTATGAATGTCGCTGCTGTGTCCAGAGAGAGCCCAACAGATGCTGAGAGGAAATCTTGCATGGACCCGTTATGGAGTTGGAGACACAGCCCATAACTGGAGCTACACCGTAACATGAGATTGTGCTGGGCGGGATGAAGCAGCACCAAGGAGGGGGAAGAACAACAGAGTGGTGTGTGTGTCTGTGTGTGTGTGAGTGTGAACCTCAGAAAGAAAAAGAAAGCAAATTAAAGGGGCGTGTGTTTGGGTTAAAAAAAAAAAGAGAGAGAAAGAAAGAGACTTACAAGTGTGAGGAGGGAGTTTCCAAAGTTTTCAAAGAGGGTGGCATATTCTGCACTTCACTCTCAGCTCCCAAAGCCTCAGCACTTACACAGTCTTGCAGGAAGCACAAATATGTGTGCGTGTGTGCTGGTTTATGAGCAACGGTGGAACTGTTTGCATTTTATTAACTTACCGCTGTTGGTGTAAAGGTGGATTTTAGCCTTGAGACAAAGGAGAAGAGAAGAGAAGAGAAGAGAAGAGAAGAGAACTTCCAAAATGGGATAGAAAAAGCAATCAAACTGACACTCTGAGTTGAGACACTGGACTTGGGTGAGTCAGAGAGACAGGGAGGACAAAACAGTGGATGGACATGGGCAGAGAGCGACTCACTCTGGGACTGCTGCTGCGTTTGGGCATCCTGTTCACTGCTGTGTGTGTGTGCATTCATCTTTACCTGGAGAGAGGTTGGCAGGGTGCCTCAGCACCCTTGGCTTTGAGACGTCCAACTAAATCTAATCAGAAGTGGGGTGAACAGAGTAAAATGAAACAGGTGTCTGCAGAAGAAGCAGAGGAGCTGGGCAAAAGCATTAAAAGGAGAATTTCTTATGTTCACAAACTGAAGAAGGACAGTCTAGTTAGGAAGACTGAGGGAGACACAGAGGGCCCCTCACCACGATGCTGCCCGCCTCTGCAACTACACAGAAAGGTATGTTTGATATACCATCAACTTCTTAGCTCTTAATTGTTGTGCTTAAGATTTTTGTAAGGTTTATCTGATTCCTAGATCAGAGGTTTCTTACAGAGAAACTGAGTAAGAACTACTGAGTTAATGCTCGGTAAATCCCAGAAGGGTGATGATGGAAGAACAGGCAGCAGAATTGATGCATGTTCAGCAGCGAGTGCCTCTGAAATGCTTTGATGTCAAAGAAGAGAGGGTTTGCCACTCAGATTTCTGGCAGTACAGGACTGCATTTATTTTTCTGAGACAAGTGAACAAGTGTTGGCCTAACACACAATGACAAATCAAGCACTCCCTTAGTGCATCAGCCACAAATCTAAGACAGTCGGCTCTAACAAAGAAACACTTCATTTGTGTGTTCTGGAGCAAACATTACTTTACACACACTCAAACACACACATGCATGAACTCCAGCAGCTTGACCCTGTGACCCACGAAGGGTGTGTTAGTGCAGCAGCTTAACAACCCTCCACTTCCCTCCCCTCTGCTGTCTCTTCATGCATTTCTCTTTGATTCATTTCTGCTCTCCGCCGTTGCCTTCATGTTGTCATTTGATCTTCCCATCCATCATTTTTCCTTTTGTTCCCCTTTCACTGCCAATTTCTGTCAACCCTCCCACCAGCAACAGACACACACACACACACACACACACACACACACGGTGAGCTCTCTCCTCCCTACTTTAGTTTCTCATTCTGTTACATTGGGATAATAAATGCTTCTTCGCTTTTCTGTCTTTAAATCTTTAATGACCTAAACTAGAGACAAAGAAGCCTCAGCACAAGAGTTTTAAATGCCGTGAAAATCACTGCAGGGCTATCATTGCATGCCTTGAGATGGGCACTTGTGCACCATCAATATTACATAGCACCATATGCTCACTCCACCTAATTTCTAACATAAAATTTGTCTCCTAAGATGCCCTGGAGGTGCCCAGATAAAATTTTCTGTGTCATGCGCTTCTGCTATTTAGCTCTCCCGCTTCCTCTCTACCTAGACTGTGCTTTTCTTTCCTTTCCCTCTCATCTCAAAGACGTGTGTTAACGCTTTTGCTCTGTCATGTTACCTTGTCCCTCTCATGCTCCGTTTTGCTTCCTCATCTCTGCTGTCTGAATCACTTTAAAACTTCAAACCCGCCTTCCACTTTCTCTAACCTGTCTTTCTCTTATGTTCTCTCTTTTCCTTGAACATCGCTCTCTTGCTGTCTCACTAGCATACTGCTTTCTTCTCCCTGAACATATTCATGCAACTCAGATAAAATAAAATAAAAAAAGCTGCAGGCTGCCGTGAGGAAAATTACATTTTAAAACCTAATTTCCGGTGAGGCTTTGTAAAGCATTGTGCTTTTATAAGCACTCACTGATTTACGAATTTATGTACTGAAGGATTTGTTAAATATTCTGAGCATTTCCTGGTACTGTAGAAATGAGAGCATGTAGCCCTTACCCCAGTCCACCTTTCTATGCCATTTAAAAGATCTGAGTATCAGTTAAGGCAGCACGGCTGCACAAAGGCTGGGGCCTTTCTGTGTGGCGTTTGCATGTTGTCTGTGGGTACTCTGGCTACCTGTCATACTCCAAAGACATGCACTTAGTGGGGTTAGGTTAATTAGTTATTCTGAAATGCCCATAGGTGTGGATGTGAGTGCAAATGGTTGTCTCTCTCTGTGTTAGGCATGCAACAAACTTGCAATCTGACCAAGCTGCACTCTTCTTTTCACCCTATGGCAGTTGAGATAGTCTCCAGCTGATGCTAAATTGGGTAAGCAGAAGAAGACGGATGGTATTAATGCCACTATTGTGGAAAGTGTTACACCTACCATGAACACAACTGGTTTCATTCTCACTTTTACCTCCTTGTGAGCTGCTGTAAAGGTAATTGATAATTAGTAAAGATAATCGTACTTTTATACCTCTTCATATGGCTGGATGATCTTCAAGAATTACATAAAAGGTGGCACGGTGGTTAGCACTGTT